CCCCCCCCCTCGCCCCCCCCCCCTCTCACCTCTCCAAATCTTCCTTCAAACCTTCCGTACGCGGGCAGAGACAGTTTGAAATTTTCTCCTGAATTATTCATTCTATGAGTGAGCGTTCTCTTTCTCTGGGGTCTAATTAATTCAAATCTTAAGCGGGATATAGAGATTTGGCTGCTTGATTTTAAGGGCAACCTCCAACTAACAGCAAATTAGCAACCTTTTGGTAATTACATTGGGCATTATAAAAGCTGCGCAGTTGCTCTTGACTTCAGTATCAAAATGCTACCTTATCTAAGTTGCTGGGAGCACGTTCCGAAATTCCATTGTTTGAAATATTGTCAAGCAACAATTGCTAATATTTTAATGACAGTATACTCCAACTTTTCTCACATGAAATTACACATTGTTCAAGAAGGAGTGCTTTTAATCAATGAGGCTCCTACTATACTCAAATTTCTTTTTTTCATACTAAATAAAGTCATGAGAACATATTAAAAGTATTTAATTGTCTTCTAGTAACTGTTCATTTACTTCCTTGAGAAGGAGTAAAATTATTTAAAATAACAATTTAATAATTTATAACAAATTAAGAGAAATATTCAGAGCACTTGACTTGGGAAAAGAATAAAGATTTTTTTAGTCGATAATACGTGTATCATTCAAGGGGAATTCATTTGTGCGGTTGGTTACCCACATTCATGAATGCGAAGGTAATTGCATTGACCTCTTGACCTCGAGAGAATGTATAATATATTTTACCTTTCTGCCCAAAACCCATCATCTAGAAATGAGGGCTTTGTAAGGCTTTTCTGTTTTGTGAAGATAAGTGATGAATACGAGCACTTCACCCAAAGTGATGTTTTTAGGGTTTAACACTAATCAGTTAATACTAAAATAGCAACCTTACTCCTTCGCATTTGTTTCATTAACTGGGTTGCCGGATTTTTTGTGGAGATAATGCTCCACATAAGATTAAAAAGACCTCATAATAGGAATTATTGGTGACCTTTACTGAAAAAAGACAAATGGTGAAATCGAAGTGTGTGGTTTGCTAATGACGTAAAAATAGTCATTTCCTTGGAATGCGGCTCGATGCCTGTTACATTAAATGAATTCCCCTTACTATGAATTGGCTTTTATTTAATAAAACTTCAAAAATTTTAAATAAGGACTGGGATATATATGCAATTTCTATTTTTGCAGTTCTTAGTGTATATTGTGTGGTCCTGAGTTCTCCATTCAAGTTACCGACTCTTTTGAATATGATGTGAATATGTACATAGGAGACGCCAAATCCTAATCTTTGTTCATAAAAACTAATTTCCACCCCTCCCCAGTTTCGTATACTTTGACTTCTCTAAAGTACTTAATAAAATCTCAGTAGATGCAATGTAAGCGTAATTCAAATGAATTGGACTCATTAAAATTCAGACTCAATTTCGCGATAGGACACTGTTCAAACTTCACTCAACAGCACTTTTTACTATTGGGTCATTGCCGTTTTTGTTGACAGATTCACTCTATACTTT